CTGGCTGGGGAATTCTGGGAGTTGAAGTCCGCCAGGCTTAAAAGTTGTCAAGGTTGGAGACCCTGAACTAAAATGTATTTTTAGTGTAGAAGAAATGAGAGTGGTTGCCTGGATGGTGGGTTTATTGGGTGGTTGGTAGGACTATGACTCCTTGAGCTTTTGGTCTATTTAACAGTTTCTCTCGATCTAAATATTTATTTCGTCTGCATCCTCAGGCCCTGGAGAAAATTGCTGCTTACATGAGTTCCAGCCGCTTTATGAAAACTCCAGTTAACAATAAGATGGCCAAATGGGGTAACAAGAAAATATAAAGTAAAAAAACATCTTTGTTGCTGGATGAGATACTTCCCCCTTTTTCTCCATTCTTTTTCTTGATAAGAAAAAAAAAGATCTTTCTGTAGAATTGTGATGCAAATGTTTAGGTATTTGCAATGCAGTAGTGCTCAATAAAGTATCTTGGAATTACTTGGTAATGTTGTCATGTTTGGTACACTATCACATACTTTTGACTTCTAGTCTCTCACACCTCCTGCTTTATCTCTGTGTTTTAATGTAATTCACATGAAGGTGCCTTTATGAAGAACTGCTTTCATGTCTGCTCAAAGCTGATTGGCTGTTGGCCTTTGGCTAAAATGAGAACAGCACAGAAGAAATATAAAAGGCTTCTAATTTTATTTTCCATTGTATATGAGAAATATTTAAATAAGCTCAATTAAACAAAATAAGTTAGATTAACATTAGCAGCATTAGAAAACTGAATTCTGATTTATTTAAAGTACGTTCCTGAACATTGAATCATGAGTCAATTGTCCAATATTTTTTGCAAATCCAAAATTTACAAGCTGTCAAATCCTGGGATTAATATCACATGAATAAACATGCACAATTTGGAATTAAACAGTTACTTTCATAGAAGGGAAGTTCATTGATTATTTTTTAAACAATCACTTCATTTTTCTGTCCAACTTCTCTACCATGTTCTAGCATAAATCAGTGAAAATATTTCTAAATTGACAAATGGAGAAATTAAAGAAAAACTCAATATACTCATATTCATAATATACTCATAAAATGGTATATTTCAACCAGTAAATACATAATTTTCTTCATTTATAATGCAGAAGTGTGAAAGAGCACCAGAAGGAATGAACAACCTGACTCTTATAATTCCAAGCAATTTTTTCTTGTCCTAAACTATGTTTGCATCTAATGATGAAAGTTGGAAAGTAGGTGAATACTCTTAAGAGGAGCCGTGGTGGTGCAGTGGTTAGAATGCAGTACTATGAGCTACTTCTGCTGCCGGCTGCTGCCTGTTGTTTGGCAGTTCGATTCTCACCAGGCTCAAGGTTGACTCAGCCTTCCATCCTTCCGAGGTTGGTAAAATGAGGACCCAGATTGTTGGTGGCAATATACTGACTAAACTGCTTAGAGAGGGCTGCAAAGCACTGTGAAGCGGCATATAAGTCTTAGTGCTAGTGCTATTATCCCTATCCTGAAAGCCATAGTCCAATAATAGAAGAGCATGTCACCACTGTAATAACAGCCCTTTACAGATGTTCCTGAGATCATTCAAAAATGGTAAGCATGTTACTTGCTACAGCATTTACAGAAGCATCTTAAAGCCCTCTTGAAGACTATTCTTAAACACAGCAATTACAAACTAACTGGAAAATTAGTGGACTGAAGATTACCATGCAGCTAATAACATTTTCAGTGAGTTGTGCCATTGATGCAGTGATGATCTCTTCAAAATAAATGATGAAATGGTTTGGGAGATCTGCAAACGCTAACGCTGAGGACCATTACTGTGAAGAGAAGCACAGAGGTCAAACCCTAACTTAGAAAAACTAGCCATTAAAAAAAAATTACACCAACCTCATGGAAAATTACAGTGGGGTATGATTAATTTCACCTTGGTATTATGTGAATTCAGAATTCACTATTCTGCAATTCCCCAACCTGTGGGGAACTCTGGCTTAAGTCATATTCTTGAAGAGCTCAGGATTATGTACTGTATGGAAGTAAATACACTTTTATCCTCATAGCAATATTGTAGTGGGTGTGCTTAATAATAGAGACTAAATAAGGCCATTTAGTAAATTTCAAACAGAAGTGAGCACCCTAAATCTACAAATCTACCAATGGTTGGTTAGTGTTTTGCTGCTTTGCACATGAAATAACTTTTCAGTTTTCCAAAAATATATATTGTATCACTTTTCCCCCCAAGATAAATAGTTGATCTGGAAGAATACTATATATGCTTCTTCATCAGAACAATGAAAGTGTTATCTTTGAAGAAATGTTAAGATTTTAGAGCACATTTTTGTACTACAATTATTTAGATAGAAGTATCCTTGACAGAAAGTACAATAGCACCCCTGATTAGAAAATATCTAAGGTTGGATTCAAGCTGCCTCACTTCTCTTTAACGGTCTTATAAAACATTGCAAGCAGAATATTACTCTTTGATCCCTTATGCTTATTGTACAATTTTCTTTCACAACACTATCTCATGAGTTTGTGATATTAAGAGTAAGATGCCGGGGAAATGAATGGCAAAAATGATCCCGTGTTAAATTACGCATTTGGTGTGACTATCTCATGATTTGCCTGTAGGGGTGCATTTATAACAACTGAGCCTTGTTCTTTTAAATTACGCAGCCAGATTTCCTTATAGATGAAGTAAAATTATGTGCTAATTTATCATATCTTTCTTAGCTAAATATATAAAAAAACAAGGAATAAGCAGTAACCTACATGTGTATAGAATGATGCCAAACCATCTTTGGATGGTTAAATCAAAGTACTTTACCCTGTTTCGGATGTGTTAAGCAAAAACAAAAACAAAATACCCAACTTTCTGCAGGACCATTCCCAGCTGGCCATTTGCAAGCCCTATGCATTCCCGGGCACAGGCCTTTGAATGTCCTTGATGTGGTTATTTTAATTGCTGCTTGTTTAGTTTTCATCATAGGTGCTGGTAAAGTACTTAATTTTTGTTACGTTTTTGAACTGCTCCTAGCTATCTAGAATGACTTATGATGACAGACGTGTGGGTACATAAACTGAATACTGATAAATGAATATTTGTAGCTCAGGGTTGAAATGAGGGAGCATGTGCTCTCTTTTCATTATCCAAACTAGGTAGCTAGTTGGCTAAAGGAACATCTGCAAGAAGACAACCAAGCTCAGAGAGCACCAAGGTCCCCTCATAAATTGAATGAATAAATGAATAATAAACAAACAAACAAATATATACATCCTGCTGTTCTGTGGGGGAAATGAGGACCATGTGCTTATTGTTAAGGCACATCTTTCTTTTAATTCCCACCACCACCATCACAATGCTCCCAAAAAGAGTCCATTCCATTGGCAGAAGGTCTCATCTGCCAAATCGCTGGTGGGCTTCAGAGGCCAATTCCTTTTTGAATGGACATCTCCTGTCTAAGGTATTGATCAGATAAAAATCCAAAACAGTCCTGACAATGAATGTTTTTGTTGTGGTTCACCGGCAGCCTGTGCAGACGGCAGCAGAATCGGACAGTGGGGAAGAACAGGGACCAGTCCGGGAATCTGGAGAGGACTTGGACGAGGGTCCTGCGTCCAATGCAGAGATGGGGCCAGGACCATCTGGGACTAATGTGCTGACTCCGGAGCCTCCAGAGCCTGGCAGCAGCAAGGCAGAGGAACCAGGGGAGCCTGTTCCCAGTGCGCGTCTGCGCAGAGCTGCTAGAAGTCGAGAGCAGCTGAAACAAAAGGGGCAACTCGGGAGTAAGGCTGGGAGGTGATTGCCCCTCCCATAAGGTATAAAGGACAGGCAAATATGATGAAACCTTTGCAGGAAGCAAAGTCGTTTGTTTGGTTCAGATTCATTCTTGAAGCTCTGTGTGGACTTCGTACTTTAGTTGGTTTTTTATAATTCATTTGGCACTCTAGCTGTTGGCAGCAATTCAAAGGAAAGAAAGGTGGGTGCTTATCTCGAAGGGACTGTTTGGGACTCATTACTGGCTAGGAATGAACATAATTCCCAGCGTTGAAATAAAACAAGAGTTGTTTTAAATAAGCATGTGCTTAATTATGTTCTCGGGAAGCCTTGGTCAGAACAGTTTTAGTTGTTCCTTCATTCAGTGGTGTCATTTTAAAAAAGAGGGAGACTGAATTCCACTACAAAGCGTCATTGACAATATGGTAGCATACTGTATTTTTCCAGCAGGTATGCTGAGATTGAATTGATGATCAAGATTTAGACATTGTCTTACCTACAGTGGAGATTTAACTCCTGCAAGCATTGAAAATACTTTTCTTCCCTCTTCCGGGCAGACCATTTTCAGTTCTTCTTG